TCCTGATATCCCTAAAGCCAGAAGCTTCTGTTACTGTTTTAACTGAAATATAGTTTGCAAAATGCTCAAGTCCTCATATTGTTGACTTATGCTTCAAAGATTTCTGCAGGTGTATCTGGTCATGTGACTGCTCCTATCTGTTACAGAGGTTGGGAGAGTGGGTTCTAGCTTCTTCCTCTTGCAGGCAGGACTCAATGGTGGGCAGTTTAAGTAGCTGAAATGTGTTCAGATAAAGCTGGGTGGCCACAGGTAGGACTCATAGGCATCTACTGACACAAGCGCTTTGAGATTGGGGCCAGTAACCTCCATTCTAAACAGGCATGGCTGGCAACTCTTATCCACACCACCCAAATTAGTGAACTGGTTTATTAGGAGACTGGATAGACAGGAAAAATGGGGATATAGCACAAGGAACTTTAAGCCAGAACTGACAGGCTTTCAACACTGACACTGCCAGTCAGTTCTAGGTGATAGTGATGCTCAGGTTGTGGATACAGAGCTGGGTAAACAAGGAGGATGTTCAAGGAGGGGAGGGTACCTGACAGTGAACATGGAAGGTAGTATGGCTAGAAGTCATAAATGTCGAAGGAGATAAATTTATGAGAGAAGAAGTAAATGATCTTTTGTAAGGTGTAGGTTTGAGCGTACAGAATGCCTTCCTTTATTTCTGGCTTCAAGATTGTAGACATTGGAAAGTGAGCACTTAGCACAGTTTGAAAGGAGAATAGTGCTTCACTTCAGATGAGGCGTCGGGGGAGGTATTCTGGAGAAAACATTGAGGTAGAGTATATGGAAATGTCTTGGCAATTGAATGAGTCCAGAAAGCATATTTGAAAAGGCAGGAGTATATGATGTGCCATATTTCCTTGACAAGACACATCTTTAATTTTATAATGGCTTTTTGAGAACAAGGAAGAAGCAGTATATTAAATGCACACATTGGAGAATATGTCCCTATGTCAGAGTGCTAAAACTTGAATGAATGTGTCTCAGAATTGAGGAAGTATAGTAATTGTGGTTGTGGATTCTGGCTTTAAAGGAGGTTTTCAGCTTATCAGTAGTCAGGGACTGGAAAGACATTTTGAAAGCATGTGATAAAGGTTATGAGGCCTCCAGGGGTGGACCAAAGGTTCACTGGGTAGATTACGAGGGAAAACTGGAAACAGAAAGCAGACTATTAACTGGAGGAAAATAGATGTTAAGAACTGTGTATTGTGGCTGAGATCAGGAGGCAAAAATTTGGGCTGAACAGAGGGCTGTGGGACCCCTTTTGCGCAAATGTCTTAAAGGCATATTTTAGTACCTGATGGAGCCAAGGAGTGGAAATGCAGGTAGAGAGAAAGGGGAGACAGAGTTGAACATGGCCAGCTTTGCCATTCCTACTAATTCATTCATTCATTTGTTCATTCATTCATCCTATATCTATGCATTAAACTTAGTATTGGGGATTTGTGACTGAAAACTACCCTATCTATGTTTAGAATACTCAGATTTGGTTCCTTCAAGAATAGTTGAGTAGGAAATCATTTACATAAGCAGAGGTTATAAAATTCCACAAGGAGAGAAGCCTAAGTAAAGCATTGGAAATGGGCATTTTCTAGCGTTGGCTTCAAAAGGGACAGTGGGAGACTGTGGGCAAGATGACTCATGTAACTGGTCAGCCTCAGAGCTGTACTCAGGAGGCAGCTTAGAGAGCGGGGAGGGAAGGTGCCATCTTATTGTAAAAATGGTTTTCCAACTTTGGAGAGGAATTCACTTGAAGGGATATGCCTAGAGGAAAGTCACGTCTTTCTCTGATATTGTCTCAGGCATTTGGGTGGTACACATTTGAAACCTTGAGGGTAAAACAGTGACAAGAGCCCAAGAATACAGAGTTAGGCTTTAGATATAGGCTCTCAAATGAATGAAATAGTCATTTAAAACTGTTAATTCATAGAGAAAACAACTCTCTGCCTAGAGAGTATATGCCTTAAATTTTACTTGAAATGCAAGAAAAATATAAATATAGGCAATTCATATGTATTGAATAGTTATTTAAAAGTTATATTTTAATAGAAAATACAATATCCTAAATCATGTCATGTGATACATTAGAATCCACACTACCAGGAGCCTATGGTTTGGGCCCACGTGTACCTAACAGACCCCAAGCCCATTTAGGGAGGCATTTTGTTGCATGTCTTACAAATTCAGCATTAAGAGATTACAGCAAATGTCTTGTGTCACCGTTGGTGCAACTGAGTTGTTCTCATACATAACAGAAGTAGTTTGGGCCCCAGGCTTCATTGTCAAGACTCCTGGGTGGCTTAGAGTTGACCTTCATTCTTCCGCTTTACCCTCTAGCTAACAGGCAGCCCCTCTTCTCTTCAGGCCCCCAATTCTCCAGCTCTTTCCTTTCTAACTCCAGTCTCACCTTCAAATTTTCCAAGTCAGGATTTGATATGTAAATATTTTTACATTTATGTCCTGATTGATTATACTGCTGGGTAAATGGATTTCAACCAATACATTTATTTTTCAACCTTTCAATCTCTAATTGCAGAAGGAGTGCACATGGTCTCCCTGGAAAATCTCAGATTTAGCAGAGGTGCAGAGTGAAAGTGGGGAGCTCTCTGTGGAGCCCTGGATCCTTGCTCTTTAGGTGCCTTTAAATCTCAGCAAGTGCAGTAAAGGGGCTGGCCTGGCTGATGCTTACTTCTTTATGGTAAAGAAGGCTGTGTCCTTTCTTGGCTTTAAAGCACTGGAATGCTTTCTGGAGTGAAACCTGAAGGAAATGTCCTGTATGTAAAGGAGGTGAAAGTAGTCTTGGTACAGTGGGGGGACCCCAAGTCCTCACCTTGAGAGAGACTCCTGGAGACAGTTTGGAAACCATGTCACCACTGGCTCATCTGTTCAGTGCCTCTTTCTGGCCACATTCTGTAATAGGCCCTTTTCCCTTCCATTCCTATGTACAGGGTCTTCACCCTAACACCCCCTGACCCACTAATTAGTATTTATTCTTCCACTCCAGAAAAAAAGGGACGTTGCTGTTATCCCTGGCACTGGGTCATCTTTGGCCTTCAGCCAGCAAGTTATTAGGATTCCAGATCAAGGAGTGATGAGTACATAGGAAAGCTGCTCAGGGACTCTAAGGAGTGTGGATGGGGGTACCATCAGGAGGCAGGTGAACTTTGGGTACCTGGGGCATCAGGAATATAAGTAAGTGACAGACATGAGAGGCCCTAACCACTGAGGAGAAAGTTATAAGACCTTCATCTTAATCTGTCGGCACATGTGTGTTCATAATGAAAATTAAACTGCAAATGATACTGGAGAAAACTGCTGACAATGATGATTACAGCTGTTGAAGAAATAAAGCCAGAAAAAAGGCAAAAAAAAAAAAA